TATAACGAGAAAAAGCCACTGGGAATCGACCGTTAGGATGCCCTTACATGAAGCATTTTAGGAGCTCAGTATTCTCAGATAACAGAGAAAAAGAAAAAAGGAAACAACTGCACAGATTTATTTTAGTCCCATAAGTACCCATGGATGCCCTAGAAATCTAAACCTTGTTTACTGCAGTTTTGTATTCAGTATATACTATATGATGGGGAAGGTTTGAAAATGTCTTCCACTTTGCTTCATTATTTATTTTTTTGGCTGAGTTCCTGCAACTTTGGTTGATTCAGCAAACCAGTTAAACAAATTCTGGCACAGTATGGTATGCATTACATGATTTGTGTGATTCAAGGATATTCCAGGATCAAACTAATATACTCTTCAATCATATCTATGTGCATTCCAGTCCGTGATCAGAACACAAAAATGATTATCACTTGCTTTGAAATGTAATCAAATACAGTATTACACTTGCTGCATTTTATTGTCACATATCTTGAACTGTAATAAGCATATTATAGATTCCTATTTAAAACTGTGTGTTATTGTCACTGACTTATAAATGCATATTATTGCTACTTTGAAAGTCCTGATTCAAAACGAAAGCAGGATCTAACTCTTTAAATTATGTATGTATATATGTATTTAAATTTATTGGCTGCCCAACTCAAGTGCTCTCTGGGAGGCAACATTTGCAATATATTCCTTGTAATGATTAATTACATTAGCTGATACAATATCATAAATAACTGCCATTCTCTATGAACATTATTACTTCCTAATCCCGATGTCATATCATTTATGGATTTGTATAAATTCTCACTGGCTGAAGTAGGATAACAATTTTGCTGCAGCGTTTGACTTTCCATCTGTCATTTCTTATAAGAAAGTAGTACTGCCCATAGGATAATTTTGCCTAGCAGCAACGTATTTCCAGGAATGGGGAAAGCACTGAAAAGTATTTTTATGTCTACCTGTCAAAAAATATCTATTTTCTACTAATATTTTGGGTGGCAATGATGGGTTACTTAATGTGGTGTCCTTCTAAAACCTTTAACATGCTTTGAAGCAGAATCTCTAACAACTAAAATGTAATAAATTTAAATCTAGTTTAGAGAAGAATCTGCACCTGTTTAGTGCCCTTTTGAATGATTTGTACTGGGAACATTACAAATGCACACTATTTATCTTGCTTGTACAATCAAAGCTGGCTGGATATTTAACCCTTATGTTTCCAAAAAGCTGTATTTCCTACACAAGTAACAAGCAAAGATTGCCGCATGTCTGTTAAGAGGGCACCCACTTTGGATCTAATTTCCACTAGGACTGTCGAACAATTCAGATTCAAAGGGGAAAAAGCAAGTGGAGACTAGCACTGGTCATCAAGACCTTAAATCAAATTAGTCTTTTCCTAGCGCCACAGGAGCCCTGGAAAAGACACTGCTTCTTTAAGGAATTACTAGCAGATGTAAGATGAATGCCCCTGTGTATCCATCTTTTTCCCTTTGAATCTGGGACGCTGCATACTCCTAGTAGTCACAGACCATGGCATAGCAACTTAATATGAAGATTTATGCACATGCATTCAGCTGGGAGGATTGGCGTGAATACATATTCAGAACTTACTACCAAGACTTGCCAATAAAAATCCATGAGGCAAAAATAGAAAAGTATACAAACACCATATCTATGTTGTATATTTACAGTATTAAATCAGGATGTTGTCAAATGTAGTCAGGAGAGGATCTTAATACATTTCTGATCTACTGATGTATATAGAAATGAGCAGGCAAAGAGGGGAAACTAACAGGAGCTTGGCAGGGGAGTTCAGTAAGAGGAATAACAAGAGGAAAATGACATGAAAAATTGTATTTTGAGGCACTGTGGGCTCAATTGTGAGGGGTTGAACCTGCTCATTACACGGGAGGTGTCCTGAGAGGAAGAACATAGGGGAACCCATCCTCAGGAAGCAAGTGAACAGGAAGACCAAATGGGAGCTTGGAAGGAAGGTTCCAGGGGAATGCCCCTAACAAATTTTATCTATAAATTAGCAGTATGTACTTAGCTAACCTGAGAGCCTGAGCAAGAGAAATAAAAGCCTCTCTACTGGTTATGTTTTAAGAAATAGAAGCAAAGATGAATAAACTTGTTTATCTTAAGGCAAGTTTATATTCCTGCCTGAAAACAATCTGGGCTATATTTGCACAACGTGCAACCTTGCAGTGGGGCTTAAGGAAAAAGTCAAGGACTGAAGCAGTGAGAAACTACATTTCAATTCATAAGAGAAGATGAAGATTTGTCACAGGGGTGAGCAACCCATGGCTCATGGTAGCGATATTACAAACTCTGGCAGTCCAGCTGTTGTTTTAAATAAAGGTGGAAATGGAGGCAGGAGGCATTTGCAGATGTACCTCCCCTTCAACACACACACCCCCCGTCTAAAATCACACTACTGACATTTGGTCATTTACACCCAAATGTCTGTGGTGTGATTTGAATCAATAGGGGAATGGAAGTATTTTCAAGGGCAAGAATGAAAACAGTTTGCTTCCCAGAGATTTGCCATTGTCATTTCCATTCTTAAATCCCAATACACTCAAATGGACCACCTCTTCTTCTAACATAACTTTTTCAGTGGCATCACTTGTGGCCCTCTGACTGGTTGTGGAAGGATGTCGCAGCCCTTCACCCTGACAAAGCTGCCCATTCTTGATTGATCAGATGAAACGAAGGTGGTGTTGCAACAGAAGCTGACAGAGGAAAAAACTGCAGTAAGGAAAAGAAGCAAAGACAGTGAATGGACAATCAGGAACAAGAGATGTAGAAAATATTATGCGTAGCTGGAACTTAGCTGGAACTTAGAAACAGCTTTCAGGTTGTCAAGAAACAGGCTTGGATCATTCAAGGAAAGAAAAAGGGACATTGCACAGTAACACAGGGAACAGTGAATCCCTGAACATACAAGGATCAGAAAAAAAAAAAGATAAAAGAATCAGTTTACCAGTAGCTCAGTGAAGATGGCAAAATGCTAGTAGCTAATGAAGAAAAGTCACTGAACTATTCAACTCCTATTCAATGCTCAGACTTCTCAACCAAGAGGGTATGTCTTCCCCCAGAGGTCAAGACATGGCATCATTGACTTAAATTATAGAAAGACAGATTTTAGCTACATTTGAGGGGGGGAAAGTCCTTAAATAACAGTAAGACCAACTGACAGATCACTAGGATGCAATCACTCCCTGCATTTCCTCAAGCCCTAATACTTTCTCTTAACTGGGCTTGTTTCAAATTTTTGAGGCGGCTGGGAAATAAAATAAAATGTTGCTCTGCATTCCCTTGTTCTTCTGGCTCTGCCTGGGCTAATAGCCACATTATATCCCACCACTTTCCAAGAGACTTATTCTACAGGTAAAGGTGGAAAAGTATTAACAACCATCATTTTTAAGGTAAGTTGTCTCTCTGGAAATAATGTTTCTTAATAGAAAGATGGGTTTGGCTTTGTGGTATGAGGCACAGGGTTTCCAAGAAGATGCCAGGTGACTGAGTAAAGCTTTTCTCTTGAGGGAAAGGTAGAAGCATTTCCCTGTCTACCAGTTTCCATCACAGTGTAGCTGAGAGTAGACGTTCGGAAGAGGAACTGCCACCATCTCTTCTTATCTGCTCACACTCTCCTGGGTAGGATTCAGCATGCCCGTCTATAGCACACCTATAGAAAAAGGGTCACTGTAAAAGTAGTAATCATGCTGAAATAGCATGCAAGCAAAAGACTGGAGGCCTCAGTGGCTAAATCCTGAACTGCTCATTCGCCCAGTTCTCCTTCACCCATTACCAAGGGAAGGCAAAGAGACCACAGGGCGGCTGCTCCTGCCTTCTGCAGACTCTCCTCCTCTCTCTGGGAGATGCAGCACAGGGGGACTTTGGAACAGATGTCCAGCAACCATAGGGCCCCAAATGCTGTACAGTACAGTTAACAAGGATGTCTGCAGGGGGGTGGGGGTGTCAAAACGTCAAGGTGGCGGTCCCAACCGTGATTAAAGCCCTGCCCTTGTGTTACATGCATCGTGACCCTTTTGACACCGTCCCGGTGGAACGGATCTGCCATATTTTGAAATCAGTGGAGTAAAGCACTTTCAAGGCAGGAATTGTGAAACCTGCAGCCTTCCATTTGCAACGGACCTGCAACTCCCAGCTTTGCAACTCAGCCACAGCCGGTAGGCCACAGATTCCCGTGCCTAATCTGCCCCACCCCACACGATGCCATCCACCCTCTCAACTTCCCCAGCTGAACCCTGGACAGTTCTCCACGCCGCGGCATCCAGAGGGAGAGCGCCGAAACTCCGTCTCAGGCGGCGGGGTTTCTCCGCCCCCCTGCTGGCCCCTCCACTCGCGCCTTTGGGAGGTCTCGGGAGCGGGGAGCGGGGAGCGGGGCCCGACCCGTGGCGAGGGGACGGCATCGAGGTCCACCTGCGATCGGCCCTGTGCCTGCGCGTAGCGG